TGAGACTGGTACACGTCAAGCGGGACTTCAATCAGGCAGCGGATTACTTGACTTCCAAGACACTGCTGTTCGGAAGATCCTGGAGCGTCCAAGAAGACGGAGAACGTCAACACCTGGAACGAGTATCCAAGATTCAAGAGAAGCTGATGAAGTCAGCCGAGGGCCACCTGGAGACCGGTCATCCAGGATTGATTGTCACCCAGGATGAAGAGGGTTGTTCAGACAACTCTGGATGCCCCTCTGTCCGGGATGTCATGGCAGCACCACTGCCAAACGCAGCCAAAATCTTGGTTGCTGTGACACGGGCTAGTGCACGAAACCAACAGGTGTCATCAGAACCCCTGGACCCTCTCGAATATCAACGAGAGAGGTGGCGGAGAATTAAGGTGCACCAGGAACAAGATGAATACCTGTGCGATTTGAAAGATTTCCTGAACGGAGAAATCGATCGGTTCACGTTACACCGGTTGCGGAAGATCGCCAAGGTTGCAGACTTGTTCGCCCTGGATGCCCGTGGCGTGCTGTATCGGTTAGCCCAGTCCACCCGAGGCAGCCCCGAGATGGCCAGGATGAATTACGACTGGTAGTACCAGTCACCCTGAGAGAGGACATTTTACATTATGCCCATGAGGATTTTCAGGGTGGACACCAGGGCATCAAACGCACTCACGAGAAATTGCGCTATGAGTTCTATTGGCCCGGGATGTATGCAGACGTGGAACGGCACGTAAAGAGTGTGTGGATTGTGCAAGCGGCAAAGGACATCCGTCTAACCCTGGCCCATCTCCCGGAAACATCGAATCAAGACAACCCTTTGTAGTGGTCTCGATGGATTTCGTGACACACGTGCCAAAGTTGGATCGGGGAAACACTTTATTGCTTTTGTTCCAAGATATGTTCTCAGTATTCGTGATGTGTAAGCCGATGTCCTCCACGACGTCCCAGGATGTAGCTGAAGCATATGAGGAACGGGTGTTCAGGATGTTTGGCGCTTCAGAAATGATCCGCCACGATCAAGACCCGAGATTCATGAGTGGGTTTTCACTCGATTCAGGGAACTCCTCGGCAGCCGTCAAAGATTCACCCTGAGCTATCGACCCCAGGCCAATGGACAACCAGAACGTTCTGTTCAGGCTGTTATCCGGAGCGTACGAGCGCATGTTGCTGAGGCAGATCAGTCAGATTGGGATGATCATGCCGAGCGGCTGATGTTCGCCCTGAACACATCGTTTGACGCACCCGCCTGGATACACCATTCTACCTAGTCCACGGTTGGGATGCTCAAGGCACCGTATCTTCCATGCTAGGGCCTAAACCGTCCAGCCGTCCAGAACGGACCGCGTACGAATGGAGGAGAACGTTCCAGCGCGACTATAGCTACGCACGAGCATGTGCCAAGGACCTACAGAAGAAGGCAAAGTGGAGAGAGCTTTCAAAGCGTTTGAAGTCTGGATTCTAAAGGGGCGACGCAGTGTGGTTATATATACCCAAAGTGCAACCAGGGCTGAGTCGCAAATTG